TTATTTCTGTCCTCATCTTGCAGATGCAAAAAGGGAGGGTAGATTTTGAAAATTTTACGCTCTATAGATACCTCTCTGTTAATGTTTCTAAAATGAGCTTATTATTTTAGGAGACTGTTTGGTAGGACTTTGAATCTATCTAGGACTTGGGAATCTTAGCATCTAGCACTCTCTTTAATGGCTCTATTTTATTTGATGGTGTTGACAAAAATAAACACTGCAGTCCTTTTCTCTTCTCCTACCAGCCTGTTCCCAAAGAAAAAGAGGGCCCTTTTTTTCATGACACAGGAGAAATCCATTTATTTAAAATTGAGCACTTAAATAATGATGCCTAAATCTATATTTAGCCACTTACATCAGCCCCATAGATACCTAAACGAGAAATTAGGTGACTGTGATCAGACATGCCCCTATCCCAATGACAGCAAGTCTAACAACCATTCCTGCACTCAGGCAGTGCCAATTAGGCACACCTGCAGAGCATGCGCTACCTGGAGAAGGGGAGCTTAAAAAAGGTGAAGCTGGCCACAGAGCAGTTGCCTAAGAGGAGAGGGTACTAGCAAGTCTAGGCTGAGGCAGAGAGTAGACTCCCCTTTTTCCTCTCTTGTTTAGGGTAGACAGACAGGCACTGCAGCCCTGAGAGAGGTGCTCTGGAAGTCTGCTCTTTGACAGTGTCCTGTAGCTGGACCTAAGGAGCAGTGCCAGGGACTGGAGGTATTTGGACTCAGAAAGGACCCCGAGAGTGAGCTCAGCTCCTGTGGGGGAACCGTCAACTTGGCAGGTGCTGGGGTTCCAGAGGTGACCCAGCACAAGAGATGTAAAGAGATGACAGCTGAGCCTAGGCTGAGAGCTGGCTGACAGCAGTGATCAAGGTTGAAAATTGGACCCATAGTCTCCATTGGCTTAGTCAGTGAACCTCACAAAATGAATACATATCTTCTGCCTGAGACAACAATATGCCATTGACTTCTAATCCTTGACTAAAATGTAATGAGTATACTACCACACACGTTGTCCGTGTAAAGAACATTAGAAAAACTGCTTTTGCATCAATTAACAGGGTGCAGCTCTGAAACACTGCAGTATTGCAAATTTATAGTTGTCATATAAGTAGTAGTCCAAAATGCAAACAAGCTGAGGCAAATAGAGCTTAAAATAGGCAAAGATTCACACCAAATTCAAGTTCGTTGCTTACTACACTTTCTCAGGGCAGAGGAAAAAGAATTAAACCCCTATATTTCTACTGAACCTGTTGTTGTATCAGTTTCCTGATATAAAAAGGGTAACATTCATTTATTGCTGGTGTAAAGACACTGATTTCACTGGAATTGCACCAGGGATAAATTTGTCCCAAATGCTCAAATACCTGTTCTACTGAGCATTTTGAATCCACTATGACATGTATTATGTAGACCCTTCATAACATTATAAATCATCTTATTTGACTACAAAGACCAATTCACACCAGTGCTGGACTATAAATAATTAATAAAAATGTGAACTTTCTTAAGCAAACAGCAGGCTACTAGTGCTAAATAATTTTTAACAAGGGGGTGAAATCCTGGCCCCAGTGAAGTCAATAGGAGTTTTGCCATTGACTTCACTGGGGCCAGGATTTCACCACGTTGACAATAGCAAGCAGTCTATCAAAAAACAAAAAAACAAACCCCCCAAACTGAAATGCTAAATGATACTAAACTTCAACTAAAAAGGATCCACAGTGAGAGAGCCCCTTTGTCTGAATGGAACTAGGCCTTGGGGAAATGCTGACCTTTCTTGTGGACCCCACTCTACGCGATTTAAGTCAATGAAACGTACTCAGTGAGCAATGTCTCAAATGCCAATTAAATGTTCTGTTTTAAAACAAAAACAAACTGGGTGAGTGGAAGGGGCTTTTGGAGAACTGAAGTCCTCTCTTCATCCACAGACTCACACAGTAAGCTTTTCCATTTTGCCCTGCCAATATATCTCAGAACTATTCTGAGGGGACAACTCCTAGGACTTCCGGAGATGTTCATCTCCATGATATGTCAAACTTTAGCTTCGCAGACTGATTACAAGGGTGCCACTGTGATGGTGGCATTATATTTGTGATGTGGATATTGTCTTGCTCACTATTACTGACTCATTTCATGTGGGGCATGATAATTTTTATGGATGTTTCTAACAAGGACTGGAATTGAGCTGGAGGTAAAAACCTCTATAGCCAATAACCCAGTTCCCGAGACTGCCAGTCTCTTGCTAATTAAACTTCTTGACTTCCCCCTTCTTTTCTTAATCCTGAAAAAGCCAGAGGCCTTTCCTCATCATATAATCAGATTTCTGTAACTTTTTTGGCAGTTTGAGTTTTGATGTGTCTAACCATTTGTGATGACCTGTGCCCTTGGATAATGAAGTATGTATAGAGTATGCAATGTTTTCCTCTTCTTTCAGACACTAATTGGATGAAAACTGCTTACACCTGGTAAAGTGAATACACTGACATCTTAAAAAAAATTTCTCAGCTAATAGGACAAGTTTATAAAGAGTTTTACTGATGATATATCTCAAATGAATAGAAAATTAAATGTTGCTGTCTTATACTGTATGCACTAAATCTAATGAACAGATTTAGTTTACTAACTGCTCTTTATATGGGTTTATGCATTTCTTACTTTTTAAATTAATTAGTGGTTTTATGATTATTTTCCCTCTAAGTCCAAGTTTGTTTGCATTTAGAAATGAACTGTATAGTGTAAAGGAGGACAGCCATTAGTTAATATTTAATTACAGACCTGAGAGGTTTTTTAAATCTTCCAAATAGCAGGGGCTTAAGATTTCCAGCAAGTATTTTGGAAGGTTATATAATCTAGGGCTATAAAATGGTGGTGTGTATCCTCCTTGTAAGATACCACTGACATTTTTCTGTATTATATTTTAATCATTTTTATTAATTAGCTAAGAATTAATTAGCTCAGAAGAACATTTGAAATGCATTCTTTGTGTACTTTTTGGCACACTATTTTGACTGCAACTTTAAGCATCATTTGTAGTCTTCATGGGGAAATTAGGAAAAATAAATGTCATTATGTTTCATTGAATGAAAAAGTTGTCATGGGTGCTTAAGATAATACTAAAGACAATCAACCTTTAGGATACCAAAGTACTGGTGTAACTGAGAAGAGAATTTCACTTAGTCGTCAGTGAAATTACTGTTACACACACAACCACTCCCCTCCCCACACACCCTGTGTTAAAAGCACATTATTAAGGTTACAGAGTTAGGCAAATCAAAAGTAGGAAATGCCAGAATTAAGGGTGGTGTCAGGGCGGGCGCGAGCACCCACCGGCACCGGGGAAAGTTGGCGTCTATGTGCCCAGCATTTCTGCAAATTGGACCCCAGGATCTTAGGTTGGGTACCCACCAAATGAGGAACACACAATTAGTTGACCATCTCTGAAAAGCTTGGTTTAAGTGATTTGCCTAGTATCTCATAGGAACTCTGTGGTAGAGGCAGGAATAGAATTAGAGCTAAGCAAATAACTGATTTATTTATTTTTTTGCTTCATTGGCAGTTTCGAGAAGTTGAAAAATAAAATACTTTTTGGGTCATACAAAATGTTCTTTTTGACCCAATATGAAACATTTAGTTTTAGATTTTGAGCATTTTAAAACATTTTTGATTTGTTATAAAATAAATTAAAGGAAATTTTGAAATGAAAAGGCTTTTTGAACTGAAAAATTGAAATGTTTTGTTTTAAAAGGTCAAATCAAAATGTTTTGATTTTTTTCTCAGAATATTTTTGTTGTTTCTACACAAACACTTTGGCAAAACTGACAGGAATTCATTAAATGTTTGGGGATCACTGAATCTGCATTTTTTTTTTGCCAAAAAATTTTGGTAGAAAAATTTCATCCCGCTCTGGATAGAATCCAATTCTTCTGAACAGCATTCAACTGCCTTAGCCACAAGACCTTAACCATGAGACTATTCTTTCTCTTTTTGCAATCCCGAGCCTCACTCACCGCACACCTTCCAACTTCTGTAACAAATGAGGCAGAGGTCCTCCAGACAACAACCTCCTTCACTACACAGCCACAAATCACCTCCAGAGCAGGTCCATCCTCCTAGGACATATGGAAAAAATAATATGTGATTTTTGTAATTAATGCACATGCACAAGGGGGCTGAATTAAAGTTACACAGGCAATCTTAATTCTGGCATTTCCTAATTTTTGAGTGAGAGATTACATCATGTGGCATCTAAGTAATGTCTTATTTTCCACCCTCCTTTTTTCCCCTCCAGCAGCCGTTGATTTTTTTTCTTTTACCAAATTTTCCTCAGGACTTGTCCTGCTGCAGGGAGAAGCAAGGAGACCCTCCCCACAAAAGTTTACTTTCATTTGCAAATGAATAATAAAACTGTGAAACAAACTTTGTATTGTCCCTGCCAGGCTCCTACAGCAGCATAGCTGCTACACTACTCATTGAGGTGACGGAGTGCAGAAGAATGTTGGGGTTGAAGTGACAGGTAGAGACTGTGAAGACTGAACCACTGACCATATGGGCTTAGAGTGGCAAAGCTTTGCATTTCATAGTATAAACTGTGCCAGTATAGTTTTCTTTTCTCACTCATGCTATCTTATTACCTATTCCACATAGTAAAAAAATTTTTTACTAATTAACTAACATCTAATACATTACTCATTCCTAGTATGTAAGTTGAGGAATGTAGCTGAATAACAAGCAGGGTCCAATATTTTGAGGAAGAAAACCTCTGTTGTAGCTTCAGTTAAAAAAAATCTGTAATATATACTGCCAATGCCCTGGAATTAACTAGTTGTCCCAAAGTAAGTTGTTCCTAAAGTAGTTCTCATCCCACCAGTGATCATCAGAGCTGTCCTTGCTAGAGTACAGAATTAAACAACTTAAGAAGCAGTGGGAGACTGGCCAGGGAGATGCCCATTTCAAGATGTTTTCAGGGAGATGTCATCCATTAAAGGATTTTTCTTTTCTTAGATGAACCACAGAATGAAGAAGCCGAGGAGTCACTGTCTTGCATCTATGAAACAGTTCTTGCAGATGGTGAGTTTGAAATTCCCTAAACTACATGAAAATAGAGCAAATAGAGTTAAGTGTCTTTACATCTTGTGTGACACAAAAGGAAGTGATCTAATCTTTCTAGAATGTGGAACTACATAGAGGAACCTGTCTTGTTACTCACACATCCACCCGCCCATCCCTCTATGGGGTTCCAGAAGAGGAAAAGGAGCTGACAGAACCATTGCTCACCCCAGGTAGTGTAGGGCAGAGGAGGGACCTCCCTCTTCCATGCTGGTGGGGAGGGAAAGATCTTCCTGAGGAAGAAATGAGGTTGATATGAGTCTTCCAGTTTGTACAGTACTTTTTCTCCTGTCAAGTGTCAATGCTGCTTCACTTAAAGGCAGGTAGGCGTGGAGCCCAATAAACTCCCCAGCCAGGTACCAGTTCCTCCTGGTGCTTTCCATTCTAGATTATTTGCTTAATGAATGCTTATTTCATCAGTCAGTGCTAAGAAGCAGGAGGAGATGGAACGTGGAGAGTAAATTCCCCCCTAAGCCTAGGAGAGTAAGAGAAGGTGGAATTTTCCCTCTGCTTTTAGCAAAAGAGTTCCCACATAGCATACCCTCTACTACCAACCCTTACTTAAAGGCCTCTTCAGTAAATGTTTATTGCAGGGCTGATGTCAAGTCACACCACTATGTGAAGTCACTAGCTCGGCACCATCAACTTGCTGGCTGATGAAAAGGCTTTGGTGAGATTACTAAGTGTCTTTGGGAATTCCTGGCTTAGCACCTCCATCTTGCTGGACTCATGGCAAGGTATGAGCTTCTCTGAGGTTGCTGGATCAGCAGCTCTGCCTTGCTGGCATGATGTCAGAGCACAGGATGCTGTGAATTTTTAACTTGCTAGACTGAATTTAGGTCACATATATGTGAGGTATCTAGTTCACCATTTCTGGTTTGCTGGGCTCATGTCAAGATACAGGTATCTGTAATGTCACTAGCTCAACACCTCCATTTTCCTGGTCTGATGTCAAGCAGCAGGCCACTGATGTCATTCACCGTCTTGGCACCTGTAGCTGACTGGGCTGATGTCAAGAAAAAGGGAACGCTGAGGTGACTAAGGCCCTCTGTCTTGCTGGTCTGAAGTCAGGGAGAAGGCTTTTCTGAAGTCACTGGTTCAATATGTCCAGAACACTGGGCTGATGTACAGTCTCTTTGAGGTTACTGCCTCATCCCCTGAATCTGAGTGAGCTAATGTGGAGTGGAAACATACTGGGAACATACTGGCTAAACACCTCTAGCTTGCTGGCATGATAGGAGGAGGAATAGACTGGGGTGTGAGGAGGGAGAGCTGATCTCCCCGCTCAACCCAAGAGAAGAAAATAATTAGGAGCTGCACTTCCCTGTGCTCCCTCTTACTTTGATCCCTGACTCTGCTAAAGCCTGCCTTCATCCTGCCATATTCTCCCTTTGGTAGCTAGAAAAATCCTTGGGGAGTTACCTAGGATGTTGTATAATCCCTAATGTATGGCACTTGGGAATCCCCAGTGTTTCCTGTTACCTTGCTAAGCAATTTATAAGGCTTCCCCTGTAATCAGTGTAGAAGCCGGCTGCAATGAAAGTGTTTCCCAGTTTCTCCTCTCTTGTTTGGGGAACAGGCTGCTTCCTGCCCTCTGAACACACTTTAGGGTTTTTGGGATCAGGGTTTCCTCCTTGATGTTGCAATAGGAAATAGCCACTTGACATCCCTGGAGATCCATGGTTGGGGAACCTGGCCCAAGAAGGAAGAGGGAATGGGATGTTTGGCCACTAACATGTCAGTGTCTCAGAAATCAGTCAAGATAAGGTGTCAAGGGGCAGCTGGTCGTTCCCTTGAATAAGTATGTGAACCTCACAAACTAACCAGCATGGTTTGGCTCAGTGGTGACAGTTGCAACGTGAATCTTGTAGCTTTGCTTATCTCTAATAAAAAGGGAGCTTATCCAGTCACAAAACTGTATAAAGCCTGTGCTACATAGGTGCCAAGGAGCTTCCAGTTTACCTTAGACAAATATGATCTCTGGGATAAACAGCTAAAACACAAGTAGTTGCGGAGACATTATCTGAGAGAGAAACCTGGGATGATATCATGAAAGAACTTGGGCCTGGTCTACACTACGACTTTAATTCGGATTTAGCTGCGTTAATCCGAATTAATCCTTAACCCGTCCACACAACGGAGCCAGTTACTTCGAATTAAAGGGTGCTTAAAATCGATTTCTGTACTCCACCCCGACGAGCGGAGTAGCGCCAAAATCGATTTTGTAAATTCGAATTAGGGGTAGTGTGGCCGCAATTTGATGTTATTGGCCTCTGGGAGCTATCCCACAGTGCACCACTGACCGCTCTGGACAGCAATCTGACCTCGGATGCACTGGCCAGGTAGACAGGAAAAGCCCCGCGACCATTTGAATTTCATTTCCTGTTTGCCCAGCGTGGAGAGCACAGGTGACCACAGATAGCTCATCAGCACAGGTAACCATGCAGGCTGATAATCGAAAAAGAGCACCAGCATGGACCGTTCGGGAGGTACTGGATCTGATTGCTATATGGGGAGAGGATTCAGTGCTAGCAGAACTTCGTTCAAAGAGACGAAATGCCAAAACTTTTGAAAAAATCTCCAAGGACATGATGGAGAGAGGCCACAATAGGGACTCAGATCAGTGCCGTGTGAAAGTGAAGGAGCTCAGACAAGCCTATCAAAAAACAAAGGAGGCAAACGGTCGCTCCGGGTCAGAGCCGCGGACATGCCGCTTCTACGCCGAGCTAAATGAAATTCTAGGGGGGGCCGCCACGACTACCCCACCTCTGACCGTTGATTCCGAGGCAGGGATAATCTCAGCTACACCTGAGGATTCTGCGGACGAGGAGGAGGACGAGCTTGCGGAGAGCACCCAGCACTCCGTTCTCCCCTACAGCCAGGAGCTTTTTCTCAGCCTGAGTGAAGTACCCTCCGAACCCTCCCAAGCCAGTATCCAAGACCACGACCCCATGGAAGGGACCTCAGGTGAGTTTACCTTTTAAAATATAAAACTTGTTTTAAAAGCAAGGTTTTTTAATGATTATTTTGCCCTGAGGACTTGGGATGCATTCGCAGCCAGTACAGCTACTGGAAAAGTCTGTTAATGTGTCTGGGGATGGAGCGGAAATCCTCCAGGGACATCTCCATGAAGCTCTCCTGAAGGTACTCCAAAAGCCTTGCCACAAGGTTTCTGGGCAGTGCAGCCTTATTCCGTCCTCCATGGTAGGACACTTGACCACGCCATGCTTGCAGCAAGTAATCTGGTATCATTGCCTGACAAAGCCTGGCAGCGTATGGTCCCGGTGTTTGCTGGCATTCAAGCAACATCCGTTCTTTATCTTGCTGTGTAATCCTCAGGAGAGTGATATCGCTCATGGTAACCTGGTTGAAATACGGGAATTTAATTAAGGGGACAGAGGTGGCCATTCCTACTGGGCTGTTTGCCTGTGGCTGAAAAGAAATCCTTCCCTGCAGTTAGGCGACTGCGGGGGGCGGGGGGGAGGGGGGATTGGCCCAGAGCTTTTCGCGTTTGGCTAGCAGGGATCTTCCCTGTTACCAGCCACGCGGTCGGGGGAGGGGTACATTGATCATCCCAGGGAATTCATGGTGGGAGGGGGTGGAGAGGGGGGGTTAGTTTGGTTTCTGCAGGGATCTTCCCTGTTACCAGCCACGCGGTGGGGGGAGGGATACAGCGATCATCCCAGAAAATTGGATGGTGGGGGGGGTAGTTTGTTTTCTGCTGCTGAAGGTTAACAGGAAAACCGCAGCAGTCAACAGGCTTTGCTTGCTATGTGGGAAAGGAGGGCGCAGAAGCCGAAAGATAGTGGCTTACCATGGCTGCCTGCAAGCTGAATTCTGTTGCCCGGACCTGCGTCTGTGATCTCTAACACCAAAGCCACAGGCACTCAATATTAAGAGGCAAAATCACATGTGCTATGTAATGTGAATAGTGTTGGTCACCGTGAAAGAGTATAAGCATTGTTCTGCAAAATGTATCTTTTTAAAAAATTCTCTCATTTTTTCCCTCCCTCATGCAGCTGCAAATTCTTCAAGCCTCCCTCCTCCATCCCGAAGGCTAGCACAGATAAGGCGTCGGAAGAAGAAGACGCGAGACGAGATGTTTGCAGAAATCATGCAATCCACCCGCAGTGACAGAGATAATCTGAATGAGTGGAAGGACACGGTTTCAAAGTATAGGAAAGAAGCCAGTGACCGTGAGGACAGGAGGGACCAACGTGAGGACATGAGGGACCAACGTGAGGACAGGAGGGACCAACGTGAGGACAGGAGAGACGCTCGAGATGAGAGGTGGCGGCAGGAAGATCAGAGGAGTCGGGAAGCAACGCTGGGGCTACTGCGAAAGCAAACAGACATGCTCCGGCGTCTGGTGGAGCTTCAGGAACGGCAGCTGGATTACAGAGTGCCGCTACAGCCCCTGTATAACCCCCCTCCCCCCTCACCATGTTCCATATCCTCGTCACCCAGACGTGTAAGAACGCGGGGGGGGGGGAGGCTCCGTACACCTTCCCATTCCACCCCAGTGGACAGCCCAAGCAAAAGGCTGTCATTTTTTTAACCTTTTTTTAGTGGCCTTTTCCTTCCCTCCTCCCAAACCCCACCCAGGTTCCCTCCCTCTTTTTATAATCTATGAATAAAGAATAAATGATTTTTAAACGATAGTGACTTTATTTGGTTTGAAAGCAAGCTGGGGGAAGGGGGAGGGTGGGTTACTTACAGAGAATGAGTCAATAAAGGGGGCGGGTTTTCATGAAGGAGAAACAAACAGAAATTTCACACTGTAGCTTGGCCAGTCATGAAACTGGTTTTTAAAGCTTCTCTGATGCACACTGCTTCCTGGTGTGCTCTTCTAATCTCCCTGGTGTCTGGCTGCGCGTAATCAGCAGCCAGGCGATTTGCCTCAGCCTCCCACCCTGCCATAAAGGTCTCCCCCTTACTCTCACAGAGATTGTGGAGCACAC